ATTTGTCATTGATAATAATAAATAAGTTTTAAATATTAATTATATATTAATATACAATTTTTTTTAAAATTAAATATTAAATTAAGATTTAAATTAAAATATATTAAACATATTTTTTGAAATAATAAAATACTATTAAAAAAAAAGATTTTAATTTTTTAAAATATTTTTAGTAATTTATAATTAACTTACTATTGTGTCTTCATTCATAGTTTGATTAAAAATTTCTATTGTGTTTGAGTAGCTTCTTATTCTAAGTAAATGTATATATGCAATTTGAGCAGAAATTAAAAAGATCGGCATATGCTGTTTATTTGATGAAATCTGTTAAAAATTTATTTTATCAAAAGATCTGTACATTTGTTAGCTGTGAATAACAAACTCATAGTGAGAGAAAATTCCATTTTTTCTAGTGAGAGAAAATTTCAAAATATTTGAAAAGTTCAGTTCCAGGTTTTCACTCCCTCTGTTCAGGGGCTGACTGGGGCTATGGCGGTGGATGGCCGGCGGCCATCTTTGGCTACGTCAGCTGGAGGCATTGTAATTCTAGAAGATACAATTCAGAACCCGACAGGAGATGTTCGTTTGAAGACTGGTGCGAAGAGATCTGTAGCTGATCCTGTGATCAGAGCTTCTAATGGTCCATTTGTGATCAAGGACAATGTCGTTGATGTCCCGAAGAAGATTTCATATGTTGAAGGTAAAGGAAAGTCTGTTGTTTACAAAAATGAGGTTCAAACCCCATGGGCAACCAGGAATTCTACGAGAAGTTGATTGTTGATATGTCGGCATCTTCCTCTGAAATTAAAATTTATGTTAATAGGTTCGGATATTCAAATGCATTCTCAGAACCTGTCCTTGAGATAAATGCAAAGTCTGGTATCCATGTTAATAGAAATCTGCATTTTGAGGAAAGCTTAACCACAAAGGAAGTTAGTATTGTGGACATGATGAATGAAGTAATGCCTAGTAGGAATGGCATTAATGCAGAGAGTAACCTGCAGAAGAAAAAACCATACATTATGTTGGACTTCAAGGATGAAGATAGGGTTCTTGCTGAAGATGGAATAGCTATGAAGATGAAGTTAGAGGATGAAATGTTAAATGTTGAAAGGCTGGAGAATTTCTTAGTAATTAAGGTTTTTGGAAAGGAGATTCCGGCACATATTGTTGCCTGGGAAGTGAGGAGGCAATGGAAGCTATTCGGGAACTTTCATTTCACAACCTTGGGCAAGGGTTGGTTCTTGTGTTCTTTTGATACAAAAGATATGATGGAAGGAGTTTTGTCGGGTGGTCCTAGGTTTGTTAATGGCCATATAGTGGGAATGGAGAGATGGACGGTGGAATTTTCTAGTCTATCCTTGAAGGGTCTAACATCTCTGATCTGGGTAAGGATGCCTCATTTACCCCTACAATGCTCGGACGAAATCAATGTGGCTAGGATTGCTTCATCAATTAGGAGACCTATCATAATGGATGGAAACATGTTTCAATAGGGGAAAAGGGAATTTGCCATAATTTGTGTGAGGGTCAAGTTGGATCAATAACTTCCCTTAGGCGTTTGGGTGGAGAGTATCTCAGGAAGATTTTTCTAGAAATTTGAGTACGAGAAGATCTCTACATTCTGCTATGAATGTGGTTTGATAGGGCACGTAGAAGCAAATTGCAAGAGTAAGAAGAAGGACACTATGGAGAAGATTGCTGATCATGGAAAGCCAAGAGAAGCTACCGATACAGAAAATGCAGTAAGAATGGAAGATGAATCCTCTTATGGGCCATAGATCATGGTTAAAAAGAGAAACAATACAAGAACAGGAAGGCTGAAGGAAAGTAATAAGATAGTAAGAAGATAGTGGATGAAAACAAATGTGAATCATAAGGAGGAAGCTGCAGTGGAGTCAGCTAAGCTATATGTCAACAACGAGGTGAAAGTAGGTACTAATGCTGCTGAACATCAACCTAAGGAGGGAGAAGTTCCTTTCGCATTTGAAATGCAAATCAACAAGCTGCAGGATGCTACAGTTGGAGATGCAGAAGTGGAGGTGCGCGGTTCTATCGAAACGACAGTAAATTCTATGGAAATTAAGAAGAATCACAATTTCCAAGCCAAAAGTTTGGGAGAACAGAGAATTCCTGATGGAAATCTGGAGGTTGATTCAACTAGGGAAGCCACTCTATGGGCAGGTAACAAATTCGAACTGCTGAATTCTTTATGTGAGGATGATAATGATGTGGATATTTGTGGTGTTGATTCCTTAGAAGGGGAATTGGAAGAAGGTGAAATTATGATAAATATGGAGGAAGGTCTGTACAAAAACAATGTGGTAACTAAATAGGAAAAGTTTGAGGAGAAAACTTTTATGTTAACTGAGGAGAATGGTACTCTAAATACTGAAAAAAATTCTGCTCAAAAAATAAAACTAGCAAAGGAGTTGAGACATTTGGGCCCTTTGAATTTGGCTTCCAGGCAAGGTAGAAGTAATATGAATAAGAGGAAGGGTGGGGGCATACCCCCATTAGTTTCCAAATGAGTTTTATCAGCTTCTAGAATTGTAGGGGTGCGAACAAGAAAGAGGCCTCCCTATATTTGAAGGAGTACATTAAAAAATTGGGATGTATTTTTTGTAGGCATTGTTGAAACAAAGATTAATTCTCTGTCGAAAGATGAATTTGTCAAGATAATGGGTGAGGAATGGGATTTTATCCTGCAGCCCTCTAGAGGGAATTTTGGTGGGATTATGGTGATATGGAGGATGAATGTGGCTTCTTTTTCTTTGATCAAGTCTTCGGACCAGTGTTTGTTGGGAGAGTTGGAGATATTCAACAAAAACAAATGGATGATTGCTACAATTTATGGTAGCAGGGAGTACCAAGGCAGAAGAGATTTGTGGAATTGATGGTGTGGTTGATCAAGAAATTCCAGCAGTTTTTGGAGGTGACTTCAACTGCATACTTTCACAAGATGAGAAGAAAGGTGGGAAGAAGTTTTCTTTCTCACAAGGGCCTTTGGAAATGAAGGCTTTTATGAACAATAATGACTTACATGATGTAGGTATTATTGGTGCTAAATTTACTTGGTGTAATAACAAGAGTGGAAGTGCCCGAATATTAGAGAGGCTTGATATGCAGCTGTGAGACATGCTGAATTCTAAAGCTTTGGAGCTGGTTAGTCTAGCAGCTATGAGACATTTGAGTAGAATTGCATCCGACCATTGTCCCATTGTTTTGAAATTATTTCAACAACAGGTTCATAAATCCAGATTTCGCAAATTTGAGGATGTATGGATATCCTATGCAGCGGCCACTTCTGTAATCAGGAATTTGTGGGCCAAATTTATAAGAGGTGATGATATGGAAGCTCTAAATAAGAAAATGTCTAGAGTTCTTAAAGCCTTATTTTTTTGGAGTAAGGCTAAGCATCAAAATCTGGAAGTTTTGAAGGAAAAGTTGAAGAAGGAGATTGAAGATCTACAGCAGGAAGAAGCTTCAAGTTTACTATTTTCGAATAGCGAAGTACTAATCCTGAAATCCAAAGTCAATGAATTCAACTTTACTCTTGTAAGGTTGAATACATGGTGGAAACAAAGAGCAAAAGCCAAGTGGATGAAGGAAGGGGAGGTGAACACTTCCTTCTTTCATGCATTTGCGAATGGAAGAAGAAATGGGAATTCTATCAAGCAAATAAGAAATGAGGATGGAGTATTAACTGAAGACCAAGATTGTATAAGAAGAAACTTCTTTCAGTTTTTTTCCAAGAAATGGAAATACAGAGATTGCATTCTATACAATTGGCCTATGAATGAGAACATCTTGAAACATGAAGATTGTGGAATCCTGGATGTTGAATTGAAGCTAGAAGAAGTTGAAAAGGTTATTAATGAACTTTGAAACAACATTTCGCCTGGATTGGATGGAATTACATATTCCTTTCTTAAAACTTATTGGAAGATCATTGGGATGGATGTGTGGAAAGTCATCCAACTTTGCTTCAGTTCGGGGAAAATGTCTTCTAGGTGGAAGGAGACATTAGTGGTTCTTACTCCCAAAGTAAGTAATCATCTTTCTCCCAATATTTTCAGACCCATATGCCTCTGTATGTCAATATACAAAATTGTGTCAGAAGTACTATTAAACAGAATGAATAAAGTAATCCATGGCTTAGTTACTGAAGAACAAGTCGCTTTCATTGAAGGGAGGGCCTTATCCGAGCATATGCTTCTTACTTAAGAACTTTTTCACAAGTTTAGAGTCTCCAAATCGAGAAGGGGTTTGGTGGCTATTAAACTGGATATGGAACAGGCATACGATAGTATGGCTTAGAATACCTTACAACAAGTATTGATTTACTTTGGCTTTCCAAGAAGATTTTCTAATCTCATTATGGAATGTGTCTCTGACCCAGTTTTCTTTGTTCAAATCAATGGTGTGGAACTGGAAGGTATTAAATGGAGAAGTGGCTTTAGACAGGGTTGCCCTCTCTCTCCTTTCTTGTTCATACTTTGCTCCCAACTTCTTACTAATGCTTTTTTATCCAAAGGGAATAGTGTGGATTTTAAAAATGCCCCTTTATCCCCAAGGATCTCACATCTATTATTTGCAGATGACATCTTGATCTTCTCCAATGCTAAGATAGAGAAGATTAAGATAATTATGAAAATCACTAAAGACTATCGCAGTTGGACGGGTTAACAGATAAATGGTTCTAAATCTTCTATCATTTTTAGTAAGAATATGGAGAGAAGGAGTAGGAAAATAATCTCAAATCTCTTGGGGTTCATGGAAACCAAATATCTAAATTACTTGGGCAATAAAATCACCTTAAGGAAGCATGTGGCTTCAGATTTCTCCAGCATTTTGGAGAAAGCAGCCTTTAAGCTGGATGTTTGGGGCAAGAAGTTTATATCAACAGCTGGTAGAGTAACTCTTATTAATGCTATTCTTCAAGGAATCCATGTAATCTATACTTCTATGTCTCTAGTTCTAATATATGTATTGAAGAAGATTGATAGAATGAGCATGAAATTTCTGTGGAGTAAAAGCAATGGGGTTAATAGTTTACATTATGTAGCTTGGAAGGAGTTGTGTAAACTGAAAGACCAAGGGGGGCTTGGCATTCAATCAGCTGTTCAATTGGTGGAACCCCTTAGAGCAAAATTGGCTTGGAATTTCTTGAAGAAGCCTGATTCTTTATTCAGTAAATTTATCTCAGCAAAATATGGGAAGAATGTATGGGATGCGAGTAATAGAAAAAACTCTTCTTCGGCTTGGAAGGTGATTATTAGCGGTGCCAATGCTTTAAAACAGGTTGTAAGATGGAGCATCAAGGATGGTGTTTCAATTAACATTATGAAGGACATTTGGATCCTTGATAGAAGATTGGAAAGATGGCCCGCGTTCATTTCAAATGATATTGACAAGTTAAATAATCTGTCCTTCTTCATTTCGAATGGAGTTTGGGTGCTGGAGAAACTACAAAATTACTTTGGGAAGGAGATGGTGGAAATCATCTACAGTATCAAAATTGATTTAAGTATTCTTGAAGACAATTTAGAGTTGTTGAAGACCTATTCTGGGAAAACGATTTCAGGTTTGATCAAACATTCCAGAACTTATAAAGAAGAATCTAAAACTATGGGGATCCATGATTGGAATTGTATATGGAGGATGAAACTTAATCCTCGGATCTCTTTATTTTGGTGGAAATTATTGAAGAAGGCCATCCCGACAATGGATTTTTTATTACATAGAAGATTAACCATTAACAACCTTTGCCCAAGAGGTTGTAACATGATTGAAAATGTAGATCATGTGGCAGTGGATTGTATGAAATTAAAACAGGTTATTCAAAAGGAAAATAGTTGGGGTTTTCATCTACCTGTTTTAAAAAATTTTGAAGACTGCCTACATTTCATGAAGGATCAAGGAAAGGAGAATCCTTTTCTAGTAAGTTTGTATTGTGCATTGGTCTTTAATTCCTGGAAGAGTAGGAATTCGTTAATCTATGAAGGCAAAGAGATTGAAACTTGTATCATTATCACTAATGCCATCAACTATGCATCTTGTTCCACTTCCATAATTCATTCGGACCACTAGGTTGCTAACCAGCAATTTAAGCTGTTTTCTTTCATTTGGCATCCCCCACCACCCGGATGGATTAAAGTAAACATTGATGCTTCCCTTCTTGTCTCTAATGAAGCTAGTATTGGAGGTATTTTTAGAGACCATAAAGGTAGGATGCTTCTAGCTTTTGGATTCTCGGTAATGCATTGGGACAATAGTTTTCTGGAGATGCTTGTTGTACGTTCATTGAAGAGGGTGATAGAAGACTGGATGTTCAATGCTAAAGGATTAATTGTGGAAGGAGACAACTCTAATGTTATTTCTTACCTACAAAATTTGGTGGACCTTCATGGCCGAGAGATGGATAGGTATGATAAAGAAGACTTGGACTTTCTTAAGGAGTTTGAGGTAATCCTTTTCCATTATGTTAATAGAGGTTGTAATAAGTTAGCTCACTGGTGTGCTAACTATGCTTTGAAAGGTGATTTCTTTTGGGACATTCTTGAAGTCAATAAGGTTCCTCCTACGTTTTATTCTTTGTTAAAGGAGGAAAGTGATAGGTCTTCTATCACTTAGTTGGTTGTACCTTTCTTTTTTTCTTTTTAATGCATTTGGCAGTTTTATAAAAAAAAAAATTATAATTAACCATTAAATCAAAATACCAAATATTTAATAATTAAAACAATTTAAAATATGCTTATCATTTTAAACTAATTCTATTTTTAAATTTAAAGGAATATTTTTCTAAAGAAAATGATATATTATACACAATTTTTGGGGTTAAAAATAATTTTTAATAAATATTTGAAGGAAATTTTATTTAAAAGAATTAAAAAAAAAGCATTTACAATTAATTTAAATTAAAAATGACGGTTGGATGAGATTTGGCAGCCTCAAGTTGGTTTTGCGAATCACAGGTAATAATTTGCAATGATTGCACCGTCGCACAATCATTATAAAGGCGATGCGGTCAAATCCGGGTTGCTTAACCACGTTAGCATTAATTCTCACCATTAATTTCGAGGCGAACATGTGTAAACCCTATCATTTTTTAATACACAGTCGAATGGGAGCATGGAGCGATGAAATTCTAATCATTGATCATGAGATCAACGGTCCATATTTTGTACACTCAGGCTAAGGGCAAAACTGAAACCCTAAAATAAAACTTGTTTCATTCTCGGAAATGACATAATCAAATTCAATGAAATTTTAAATGGAGGTAGTATGCATGAAGAGCATTCATGGGGGGTAATTTGTGCAATCTAAAATGCACTTAATGCAAAGCTATTAACCCTAAGTGTAGTGACCTAGGTTAAGGGTTTTTAAGAGATCTAATTGTTGGATGTTTGGAATTTATGTTTGGTTGAGCATGTAGATTGTCCACAAATATTTTCCTAGTTGAAGTTGCATTATGAAAAGTAATGGATCACTGAGAATCCTCCTTAGAATGTTTCAAGCCTCAGTTCGCCGGAGATCTCACCACCGGCTGAGTCTTCGCAGCGAGTTTGTCTTGGAAAAGGTGGAGGGAGAGCTCTCACACAACATATTTTAGCTTGGAAGAGTTTAGGGAGAGAATATGAGCAAAGGTCCCTTCATTCAATCATAATTCTCGTATTTAAAGCCTTAGATTCATGATGGATGACCTAGATTGATCCTAGGTCTAATTAGGAGGAAAACTAAGTTGATTTAGCTGTGGTTTAAGTCAAGGGGGCATTAGGAAAGGTTTAAATGTCTTAAAGGAGGGCAATTTGACCAAATTAAGCCTATGTTTGAACTACCAAGGTTTGGGTTGAATTTAACTTAAAAATTATTTTGAATTTTAATTAATTTTAAACTATTTTAAAAACATTTAATTAAAATAAAACTTTTAAAATCCAAAAGAAATTTAAATTAATTAAGAAAAATAAATATCATACCTCAATATTTTAAGAATTTTAAATATTTTTTAAGCTTGATTGAATTGAATTAATGGGGAGAGGATTAATGATCAATCATGTCTTGATTATTCATTAATCTATTCATTATTTACTTATGTTATTTTTGTTCTGTGCATGTGTAGGATGCACACACTTAGATTTAGGTTCTCCTAGATTTAGGATTTGATTGTGATATTTATGTGATGCATTTGTATATGTATCAAGGGTTAGTGGCATTGATTCTAATTTACCTAACTTAGTGACAGGGATAGAATCAAACATTTGTAGAATTACTTCGAGAGTGGGAACTCCAATTCTAATTGATGATAATATGTTTCAGTGGGGTAGACGTGAGTTTGCAAGAATAAAGATAGAAGAAAAGCTTCCTTTGGGAGTTTGGGTTGAGGGAGTATCCGGCAAGTTCTTTCAGAAGATTTGTTATGAAAGAATTCCTAATATATGTTTTAAATGTGGTAAAATTGGGCATGGTGAGAAGTTTTATTCTGAAAGGATTTGGGAGGCAAATTCAAATCCAAACACATTTACTAGAAGCTTAGAGAAGGGGAGGACAGCTACAACAAACTTAGAGCTAAAAGTTGATTCAACAAATCAAGAAACAGCAAAATTCAGTGATGGCAATTATGGTCCATGGATTCATGTGGACTATGGAAGGAAGAGATCTAAATTTAACAAATTTCAGAATAAATGGGTTTTCCAAATGGTATCTGAAAAAGAGAAAAATAATGAAAAACTTGGAGTTCTATCAAAGGAAGGAGAAGACATGAAGGAGAAGAGTAAGCAAAGCAATTTTGATTCTCGGGTTGGAGAGCTGCTAGTGGAGGTAAATCCTATTTTATCAAACAATATAGATGTTGTTCCTAATAACAATCCATGAGTTATTAGAGAAGG